TATTCATTTGAGTAAAGAATCATTTTTGATTTGTGTTAACACGCTTTTAATAATGTTAAACGTTAAATTTGTTTGTTTTCAAAGTCTTCTCAGTCAGAAAACTTAAATATGGTTGATATTTTGAAAATTTTATATTTTCCGCAAACCTACACAAAAAATAATAAGTAAAGTATATAGTTTTTCCATCGAATGTATCTCAAAAAAATGCCTGTAGAATGTTCAGACTGTTTTAAGATATCTTGAGAATGAAACGAGACAAGGGCTCAAGTCGGTTTAGCCAAAAATCGAGAAACGCCCTGTAGCTCGAAAACGGTATAGATGCTACGATCTCAATTGGAACCGCATAGAAACATTTAACTCATAAATTCTACGGAATCCATAGACGTCCAGAAAAATTTAGCCCTGTCTCGTCTAGATATACTATATTCCGAGCTATATTACCATATAATTACCATACGATTGTCAAGTTTTTTATGTTTAGAATCGCATTGTAATAAAGCATGTCGTAAAATATCTAAAGATTTATAATTATAATCGGATAATCGCTTAATTTATACATATTATAAATTGTGCGCCGCATTACATCTGGTAAAATCGTCAATTTTCTTTAATTTTGTATTTTTCCGTTTCCTCTTTGTACTGTGATCAATCCTTCTTTCATTACGCGATAAATTGTCCTTTTTTGGATAACTTAGTTAATTCGTTAATCCGTTTCTTAACTTTTTTATCACATTGTTCACTATTTTCAATTTTCAAACATTCATATATATTTAATATAATACGTTGACTTTTTACGTGTAAATCTTTGTTTATAAACTCTGAGTTTGTTTCGATACTTTCGACAAAAACCGGTTCCACTACTTGAGGATTTTCCCGAGTTCTTTCGTTATCCTCCGCTTCAAAGAGTCTCCAGAGAGCCACGCTAAATTACTAGATAATTCGCATATAACATTTATTTTAATAACTATTACCCTTTACTGGTTACGATATGAAAAAATAATAATATCAACTAATAAATAATAATACGTATTATACCAACAACATACCCCGCCAAGCAATGCTCTGCACAGCACTGGCAAAGCGGCAAAACTAAGTGGACCCGTGTACCATACAAAAAAATTATTTACGACCTAGTGGACCAATACAGGTTTGCTTTGATGACCAGCCGCCGCCGTCAATTCAACATCAGGCGGACTGGTTCACCAATATCGGACTCGCCGAATTGCAATTCGAGTATAAATTACGAGACACATCATGGTCAAAGCATAAGAAGAAATTTCAGGAGAAGTGCATACGGTCCTGTGCTTTAAGATTTACAGGTTCCAATTGACATCGTAACAACTTTAACAGACAGAGAGATGCGGTTTGCGCCATTTTTATTTTCTCGAAAAAAAAAGAGATCTGGACTCGTCTATCAGATTTGCTGTATCTACGACAGTAACCCTTGAATACCGACCAATTTGAACCATCATATACAGAGAAAGACACTGGTTGGATCAAGTCTGTTACTGATTTCATCAGCGTTGCCGTGGAAAACAAGATACTGTCAATGTTTTACTCTTTATTATCATAATCATAATCTAAGAAAACAAAATTGTTACTTGGCTTACTAGGATCCAATGCCATTTAATACGTAAATGAGTATTCTCGCAAGTTGAGAATTTCTCAGAAAAGCTAGCAACGCGGAAAAGAAAGGTACAAGATTTTCAATACTAAACAGGTATCTTTTAATATTGGCTAAGTGTATGTAATAAACATATACAGGGTGTGGCTAACACGCTTGGCCAAACTTTAATAACGAATTATACATCGTAAATTAACAATTTTTGTTTATACAACATTGTTTCGAGGAATATTAAGGAACAGTACATCAAATACGGAAAGCTTGAAAACTGCAATTTATACGAATCCCGTTTATTTTTTCAAATACAGGCAAAAATTCGTATAAAATACAAACTACGTCATTCCTTTCAACTTACTGGCGACCACTTAAAATCGTCTTAACAGCTGCATACATACATTTGCATTTGCATCAAAGTTAAACATACACTTAAGAAAGCTGCTTGCTGCTCCTGATGCGGCAAGCAAGTCGATTGTGAACCAGTTTTCCCGCTGTTATTATCCTTAATGCATAATGATAACGCATGCACGCAATACACATTTAAAGTACAGTCCTTGACCCATACACTTCTCTAACTGCGAGATTTCGTATTGTTAGGTAACAAAGAGGAGTTCTGTGCAGCTGGATGCATGTTGGTTAGTTTTAGCACGGTATTTCTCGAGGAACAGTTTATTTTGAATACGATACGTCAGTGATAGTAAAACAATAACAGTAATAATAGTGCCTAGTAGCTTTGTTTATTATACATAAACGTGGCCAGTAGTAAATTTGATTTGTATAACAATCGAGTCATTAAATAAATAACTCCAAAAATCAAAATATTTTGACGGTTATTTTCAATTCGATGTTTCTAAATGGCAAATAATATTTTTTTGGTTCTGTTTACTGGCTCTGTATTAACAGTAGATGTAGTTTTAAAGTTGTCAAATTTGTAGACACTGAACTTTTCTAGATGTGTTTTTTCTTAAAAAACATAGCTCGCATATAAATTTTACACTATTGTAGAGGTACTAAACTAATTCAATCAAATTCAAAATATGTTTCTAAAAAATTTTACCAAATGAAGTTAAACTAGTATTTACAAAATAATATGAAACAAAAAGAAGCAGTGTCTATTTTGCTACACTAAACTCTTCACATGGAGTTTACCATAAAATATATAGGTAGTACATTACATGTCTGCTTCCAGTCTGAAGCTTCGCATCGATCAATTTACTCAGTACGATACCCTAATGCTTGCCCTGTCGGTCTGGCGTGCCGGTGAATAATTTCATTGTTGTTTGTGCGTGTGTCAGTGAGTTGATGTTTTGCTTGGTATGGCACATGTTTTTTTGGCAGTCAGTAGCATTCTGTATAGTGAGAATAGAGCCGCACACGGCTTGACCATAGATTTAGCTTATTTCTGCTACTAAAATACATAATGCCGCTTACTAACATAATGTAGATTTACTACTGTTTATTTACTTTATTTAACAAATAATTATTATCCAAAACAGAAACTAAAAATAATATGTCTAATTATAACACAGTACCATAAAAAACACTTCTTAAAAAAAACTAAACCTTTTCTTTGGGTCTATGAAGCCTAATCTTTCAATTTTTTGTTTCGACATCAATGATTCTTTTTTTAGAAAAACAATTTTTCTATTTTATCTTTTATATTTTGATCTCGTGATTTTTTTAATGTTTATACAGTGTCCAAAATATTGTAATTTAACCAAACTTACCTATATACAAAGTTTAATTTAGGTTTATTACTTGTCTTCTTTGACTATGATTTAAAGTTAATTGAAGCACTACAAGTTGTTCATTGGGGATGACTCACCCCTAATATTGTACCGAACTTTTTTTTCATTGACCGAATTGAAAAATAATATTAATTCACAGCAGAACTTAATTTTAAAAATTTTTTTACTCTTGTTCAATTTTAAAAAACTTTATGGTTTTCAAGAAAAACCGTATTAACTGACACACGATTGTAACAGTGTTTATTAGAAAATAATCGAAGTCAGTAGTAGGCAATGAATTTATTTTTCAAACTTGTCAGTTAGTAATAAAATTATTTTCTTTCAACAATTGCCTCTGATTGTTATTGAAAAAATATCAGTTATTATTTTTAGTATTTATTTGTGTTTATACAATACAATATTCGCTTATTTAAAAACTACCTAGGTACTTGTTTTCTTTTTGTAGAATTAGGAGAGAAGTGAAGTAAAATTTATTTGGCCAATTGTCAAAGAAAAATAAAGCCTACTACTGACTAATTATTTTCCAATGAACACTGTTAAAATCTTGTGTCAGTAAATACGGTTTTTCTTGAAAACCATAAAGTTTTTTAAAATTTAACAGGAGTTAAAAAAAAATAAAGTCAAATTCTGCTGTGAATTAATATTACTATTTTTCAATTCGGTCAATGAAAAAAAAGCTCGGTACAATTTTAGGGGTCAGTCATCTCCAATGAAACACCTTGCAGTGCTTCAATTAATTTTAAATCATAGTCAAAGAAGACCAGTAATAAACCTAAGTCACACTATATGTTTGGATAGAATTCATTAAAATGTGCTTTTAGTAAGATTACGAGCAAGCATTTTTAGATATAATTTATGAAAATGTGCTGGTAATAATAAAATGTCATAAATATTATTTAACTAAACCAAACCTATGTAACCTAATCTAATTTGAAAATCCAAGTGAGAATTTGTGTTAAACATATACCTGTATATTACACTTACTGAACGTGCATTATTTTTATTGTGCACTTAACATTTTATATTTGACAATTTTTAACAGAGCTTACGAATTATTTAACGTATAGTACTGATGATCATACTCGGGGATATAACTTTGCAGCAAATCTAAATACTGTGCAAATAGTTTGTTGCCTTGTTTTAAAATTTACCTAATGACAAGGATTGGCCTAGTTTGAACCAGTGCAGATAATAATATAACTTTGTTGCTAAAAAGAAAGGCTGTATTTTGCAACACCAAAAAAACAAGGCTGCTTTTAAGAAAAATGCTATTCAGTATTCCGACAAGAGATACTTATCTTTCTAATCAACATTCAGAAAGAAAAAGTGTGTTCGCGAGTTTTTCAATATCATTAGTTTATAGTATCTGAACTAAACTGTTAATTAATATGAGCTCAAGGGAGAAAACCCCACCACTAGCCATAGAGGAACAATTTTTATTGACCTAGTTTATAAAATAGGTAACGATGGATTTTTTATGACCTTCCGCTAGTCTTCACTCATTTACCTTAAGGATAAATTTTATAGTCGCCGATTTGCTTCCTTAAAGCTGTTGGAGATCTCGAAAAATGTTTATCCATTAGACATTAGACGGATCTTAGAAGAAAAAAACGTACAGGAGCATCACTTACCGATTTCGGCGAACTCAAGGGGTGCTAAATCCGGCAAAATCGAGGCACTAGCACTGGCGGGCTCTTCGGCGCGGCACTAACCAGGATTATGAAGTACTAAACCGAGTGAAACTCGTCGGCGACGATCCCCATGCGCGGGTTGCGGCAATTCGCGACCTGTGTGGAGAAATAGTGCAGGTGGACTGACTCGCCGTCTAACAAATTGGAAAGCTCTTGGAGCCGGCGGTGACGATACGTGAAAATAATGCTTTGCCGGGCAGTGGCGGACGTGCAGCATTTTCATAGTATTCAAATTTTTTGCATAATTGCATCTCATAGTATACAGTATGTTATAAAATTCATATTGTTGTAGTATGTAGAAATTCACCCATGTTTCCAAAATAATCGATAATTTTTTAGAAACTTCTATGGTGTAGTTCCCGCCAAAACTACCGGAACCATAGACACACAATAACAGACAACAACCTACGCAGATGGAAAGGCGCAGGCGAGAAAACACATTTTCACCAATTTCGATAATTTTCGGAATTTCTCTCCCACGATTGGCGCCAAAACCATCATATGTACCGGACAATTTTTACGCATGGTTCTAAGATTTCCCGTCATTCCTCCACGAAGTCATAATTACACAGGATCACAAAAAAAAAATCGACGAAAGGTCTCCTCGGCCAAATCTATCGTATTATCTGTTTTTTGGGTCGTTGAAACCGAATCTGCAACTCATTTGGTCCCATCACGTTATCTAACCTCAAAAAATAGCTGAAAAATGGTAGAATTCAACAAAATCAACCCTGCAACCTGTTAAAACCTTATAACTCCACACCTTATGATCCCGACAAGCCGAAAAATGATAACCCGCAACCGTAAAAATACATAACCTCAAAATTGGATGAGCCCAAAACCCAAAAACGCAAAATAAGCAGCGAATAAACTTACACATAGGGCACAAACCAATTAACGATTAAAAAATTTTAAATTGTTATAACTTTTTTAATAAAAATTAAAAAATATATCTATTTCTCTGAAAAGATAGTTGACATTTTTTAGAGTAGATTGAAAAAAAAATAAAATTAATTTCTAGTCTCCCTAACTTTGTTAATTTTTATAGTAAAAGAAAAAGTCAATAGACCATTTTTATGTAGAATTTTATGTTCTACAACTTCTATAAGAAACTTTTCTTTTCTAGCTCTTACCCCTTTTGAATTATCTTAAAAACCCCCTTTATTTTAACTTTTTTTCGCCCCTGGCCGGTGGTTAAAAAAAATTACTGTTACTTTTTGTTATTATATACCTCAAACTAACATAACAAAAATTCAGGCAAGTTGACTAAAATTGCGATTTAAAGGCCCATTTAATTGAATTATACAGGGTGTTTAGAAAATAATTCTAGGGGGGGTACTTCCAATATATTTTTTTTTATTTGAGCCCCTCCTGAGAAAATATTCAAATCTCAAAATGGCCGAAAAATTTAGCTTTTATTTTTTTTTCACCAAAATGGTTAAACGTAGAAATTTGAATTTTGGTACACGTTAACAACTAGTGGAATGGTATTTTTTATAGTCTTTTTTTTTGGTTTATGTTTTTGAATTAAAGATATCAGCACCCCTTGCTTTTATTTCTCTCACAACTTTTTTCTGCATTAGCCAATTCCAGCAAGAAAAATAGCTTCTAATACTACATTTCAATTAGAAACTTTTTTACTCTTTCCATTTTTTCGTATACTTAATTTATACTACTCATAATTAGTATAAATAACAGTTGTTACCAAAAACGATCGGCATTTTTTATATGATTTTCGCAAAAATTCTTTTTTTATCAATAGGAAAAGCTAAGCGAATATGAACTAAAAATTTAATTAAAAAAATTAAAGCCAATTTTTTCGGCCATTTTGAGATTTGAATATTTTCTCAGGGAGACAAAAATGTATTGGAAGTACCTCCCCTAAAATTACTTTTTAAGCACTTCCTTAAAATATTTGCAGATCATTATGAAATGCCCTGTATACCACGGCAGTGCCAAGCAAACAGTTATTCACAATTATTTTGCAAAAAAGCTATTAATTAAATTTTGTACACGGTAAACTGTACTGTTGTTTAAAATATTTGTGCGTTTTTAAGGTTCACCCTGTATATGTAAACATCTATTATTCACCTTGCATAAATATATATTTAATTATTGAATAATTACGACCCCCTGTTAGAAATTAACACCATTAGTGCATTTAGGTACAATTATACTTAGCATCTGATATTTATACAGGGATGGCCAGAAGTACGGAATAAAATTTATATCTTGAATGAATTAATTTTTTTTAAAACGCCGAAACACGTTAACTGATTTTGATTTTTTCCCATCTTTCGGTTATATAATAATTAATTTTTCTTCAACCCCCTAACCCCCAGCTACTCCTACTTCTTTTTTCAAATGGAAACATAAGGCATGAGGGGGTTCGTTGAAAAGCTTATAGAACACCGAATCCAGCCATACCAAATAAACAAGTTTTATTTTTTCAATAACAAGTTTTTTTCATTTAGAAATTGAAACAACTAGATAATTTACAAAAATAAACTCAATGTCGCAAATGCTGAAAATGTCCTCCATTCACTATTTGGCATTCTCCAAGACGATAATAAAAGCTGTCCACAGCATTCTGAATGGATTCAGCTGGTAAATTATGCATCTCCGCCCTAATCTTGTTCTTTAAATTCTCAATATTATCCGGTTTGTCCTGGTAGACTCTTTCTTTCAAATATCCCCAAAGAAAATAATCCAGGGGTGTTAAGTCGGGGGATCTTGGCGGCCATTCAACTGTACCCCGTCTACCAATCCAGCGATTTGGAAACATTTCATCTAAGTATCTTCGAACATCAATACCAAAATGTGGGGGAGCGCCATCTTGTTGGAACCAAATTCTTTCATTCGGTATATCTGGATCAATTTCATGAGGGAAAATCACAGCTAGAGCAGGTATCAGGTCAAATGTTAGGAAATCTAGGTAGCGTGCGGCAGTAAATTTTTTTTCAAAAAAGAATGGGCCCAAGATTCTGTTGTTGATGATACCTGCCCATACATTAACTTTCTGTGGGTGCTGCGTATGCGATTCGCATGTCCAGTGTGGATTTTCCTGGGACCAAAAGCGATAGTTGTGCCTGTTAACCACTCCATTTAAATAAAACGTAGCTTCATCCGAAAAAAGTACGTCTCGTTGAAAACCATTATTGTCGTCACACCGTCTCATCATTTCTTCACAAAATTGTAATCGCCTATCATAATCGTCTTCCAAAGGCTCTTGGACAAGACACACCTTATAGGGGTGGTATTTCTCTTGTTTCAGAAACATTCGAATTGCAGTTCGAGAAGCATCGTGATTGCGGGCCAATGAAACAGTTGAAGTATGAGGATTTTCAACAAGTTCTAATGCAATGTCTAATTTCTTTTCTTCATTCAAAGCACGTGCCCGTCCAGTTTTGGGCAAAGTCTGTACTGTACCGTGTTCCTCATATTTGTGAAATATTTTACTAACTGTCCCTTGCGGGATTTGGTTTTCGGGATATTTCGCATTAAAAAATCGCGCACTTCAGCCCGACTTCTTATTTTGTCTCCACATCTAAGCAATATCAAGATTTCGATGCGTTGCCTTTCCGACAATACCATTGCAATTCAGTAAATAACTTCATTTTGACACAATAGTAACGTTTCGAACTCCAATTTACAACTAAAGCGAAAAATTAACCAGAAAGCCTGCATGTAAGTGGTGCCAAAATAACGCAACATAAAAAATATATCTTTTTTGCGTTAGCAGTGATAGGTACAGTTTCAAATTCTTTATTCTATTCTGTGCAAATTCATGGAGGATAACACTGAAGATAATTAAATTTTATTTCACTTGTTAAGTACCTAGGTGTTTTATACAACCCTAAAAACCTTGCTATTGAAAAAATAAAACTTGTTTGTTTGGTATGGCTGGATTCGGTTTTCTATAAGCTTTTCAACGAGCCCCCTCATGCCTTATGTTTCCATTTGGGTAGGGGTAACTGGGGGTTAGGGGGTTGAAGAAAAATTAATTATTATATTACCGAAAGTTGGCAAAAAATCAAAATCCGTTAACGTGTTTCGGCGTTTTAAAAAAATTAACTCATTCAAAAGATATGAATTTTATTCCGTACTTCTGGCCATCCCTGTATAGGTCTGAGTAAGTAAAATCAAAACACTTACTGTAGATAATTTATTGTTATTATTATTGTTATTATACTATTACTTACTTGCAAATATAATTAAAATACTAAGCATTTAATTACAAACCTTCCGGAAATAGTCGCTTTTGTAAAGGTGCTTTAAATGAAATCGAAATTAGCACTAAAAAACAAAGCGATTGCTCCATAGATTTCAAACTATAAACTTTACCAATGGCGGAGGTAAAGGTAATAAGTGTGAGTGCAACACAATTTAACAGTAAACAGAGTGTAGTGTAAGATTTTTTATTATATTTTGTAGTTCCCTTGTCAACACGATTTTTTTCTATTTCTTGCTACAACTGGTCTATTTTATTCTATTTCTAAACAAATACAGAAAAAATGGGAGACGTATTAAAGCTGAGTGTGCTTTTGGTAACGCGAAGAAGTCTTTCACAAAAACCTACTTTCCGTTTAATGACACATCGAAGAAACATAATTTTAATAACATTAGAAACGATTTAAAGTTAATTGGGCTGCCGATATTCCGAAAGTCTGTCCTTGTAACTGGCATCTTTACGCTTTACAGGGAAATCCGGCATATGTTAAGCTCCTATTCCGTGCAAAATCATGAATAAATTCATATGATTTGCACACAAAAGAGATCCTATCAACGTCACAAATAATTATCCGGATGAATTTATTGTCTCAGTTTTTTAATATATGAAAGTGTAGACGCTTTGTGGCAGTTACATATCTCTTAGTGACAGTGTAGTGATTTATCAACATCATTTAACATTTTTCTTTATGTATATATTTTCTTTAACGTAACAAGGATAGATAAAGCAATAGTTTAAGAGCAACCCTTTCGAAAGCACGTATATTTTTTCTCCAGTAGTTTCCCCATGGCCTCTAGTGCATCTTTTTATACGTGTGAAGGAAACTTTTCTCCTTCAAATTCATTTATGCACAGTCCTACTTTTAATTTGTGCAGAA